GCAAAAAGGCTGTAGCAATATAAAAATTATTTTTGCAATTGAAATTTACACAACAAATTATTAAAATGTTCCTTTGAACCGTAAAATTTAATTAGAAATATTTGTATTTGCGTATAATAAATACGTGTTTCTTAAATTTTAATTGAGAAAACGGTAATTAAAACTGCCGAACCTTTACAAATCTTTTTGGTTTGAGAAGAATAAAAATGTTGACTTGTATTTTGTAGTTATGCAGTTGATTGTACATCTTCACAATTTGTACACCTTATTTTATACTCATTTATAGGATTAAACATTTGAAAAATCATATCGTTTTTCAATGTTTCAAAAATGCAATCAAAATTTATTTCTCACAAAATTAATTAATATTATTGGTGAAACTAAAGAAATTTCCTAAACACGCGGTATATTATATTGAGGTGGGAAGCGGGAACGAGACTGGCTTGTAAAGACTCCAGTTTTGATTCCCGCTGTTCAAAAACTGCTTCTCGTACTACACGTTTTTGCCTTTCGATGGGAAATGTACACATAAATCATTCCCGAACGTACCGAAATCAAACGGTCAATTTTTGATCTATACTCCTATAATCATTCAGTCCGAATGAAACATACGAGACGTCTAGATCGATGGCTGTAATCGATATCTTTTATGAGACGTACACTCGTTCGATAAGAGAAAAATGTACCTAATACATATATAGAACATCCTACTGTCTTTGATTTCTACTCGATTTCAGTTTAATTTTTTAAATGAGTTGGGTGGCCGCTTACAGAAAGGGCAAGAATTCGCGAATGCATACGAGTACGGGGATTGAAGATTAAGTAAGGGAATGTGTAGTTTGCGTACGTGCACAAAGCTGTATCCGAGGATGAAGGATTCCTTTTCTCGGCTCCACCTCGAGCAATCTTTTTCAATTAGTTCGAAAGAAGACTATCAATTATGGTAAAGCAGGCAGCGGGCAAACAACGGCCCGGGGCCGCAATCCATACGGACCGATTACCAGCATAATTTATAACATAATTACAGGTCGATTGTGACAGGGTGTGATGGTAACTTTTAGCGGTGGTAGTGGCCCGATTCTTGGTTGACAGTTCACTATCCAATTGGTATAGTCATTACAATATTATTGTTTTATAAAACTACCATTCGGATATATCGCACAGTTTAATAAGGGTGTCATAATTGTGGAAAACAAAAAAGATATATTCTAGTGGACGCACTGCAAACAACTTACTTTAATATTTCCAAAAATTCTGATCTATTTTTAAAAAGCTTTCTAACGATATCCCACGAGAATGTTTTTCCTAAATATTCCGATTTAATTTGTATAAATGCCTGGCAAGTAATTAAATATTTCTGTAATTCCTAGTTTTTTGGTGTTTTCTTGACATTTATTTTATTTTGTTATCATATATATAAATACTAATTCAATTATATATTCCGAATAGGTCAATCTAATAAAAAGCGTTTGATTACATGAAAATTAATTGGAAAAATACGAGAAAAGGTTTTTCATTGCTTTATTAACTGCGTATCTGCAATAAATTGAGACTGTTGAGATGGTAATTTTGTAATAATTAACCCTGCCCATTTAATAATAGCATTATATTGATTTACACATTTCTCATTACTTAAGAAATAATTTGATTAGTTTAATTGAGAAACTGATTTATCGCTTTTTCGTTTTCATTCGATTGCTAGCTCCTTTCAAATTCAAATGCTCGTCCATGGAAATTAGCCATTAAGAAGCAGACAAACAACAATAAAATTAATGCAGCCTTTATTACGGCAATAATAGTGATAATGATTTATCATAATTGTAATTCAACTACAGTCGCGTAGCGTACGTTATCGTTGTCACCAAACGTCACACTTTATTTTTATTCCGACGAAAAGCTTTAAGCGATTGCATTAAAATTTTAAATGACCTTATTTAACCAGGGAAAATCGACAATATACTTAAAAAAATAAAATCATTTTATTTCTTTTCAATTCGAGTGTGACTCGCGTCACTAAAATTCAACGTATGATCGCTTGAGTTTCCTTTATACTGGTACCTTTTTTGGTACGGAGCCTTTGATACTGTACGACGTATACTGTTTCAAATGTTACCAGTGTGCGGCGCCCCTGGTTCAGAAATTTCTACCGATGGAAGGAGGAGATGAAGGGGTTCATGGAGGCATGCTCCTCGTACCTCGTGCACGTTCGTATGTCTGCTGCCCGTGATTTACCGACGTTTATAAGACTATACGTATGCAACAGGTAAATGGCCTCCGGGATGTATCACATATTTATTCATTGCTCATAAGTACCTCTGGATTATTTATTCTTTACTTTTAATTCTATTTGCTAACCGCCCGACCGTAGACTTAGTATAATGTTGAAGGATCTACGTGGAGTTATTTAATACGAAGCAGCAGGATTTTAAATTATAACGATATAACTCGAGAAGACCCAAATAAATTATTAGAAGAACTAGCTCAGCCTAATTATAGCAATCTCCCATATCGTAATCTAAGCCCAAGTAAATTCATACGCCAATCTTCTCTCAACACTTTTAACACGTCAAAAAATTGGTGATTTTTAACGAAAAATTCCGATCTAACGACAATAACCTAAACATCCAGGGCATGACGTTTAGTTTCACTCTTTTATTAAAAGTTTTAATCGTCTGCAATATCCAAAATATCCTATCACAAATTTCCTTTATTAGAAACCTGCCTACGCTATCAATTTTTCTGCTTTAGATTATGCATCAACAAATGAAAAGCCTACAGACGTCTCTGCTGACTTCACTATTACTGAATTACCACTCTACTATTTTAAATAAAAAAAGGACTTCATTTTTATGCACCACCTTCCTTCAATTAAATATGGTAATAATGCATTTGAGTGTTACTGAGAATTTAAATTGCTCTAAATTTCCAACATTAAATGCAGGCAACAAACAAAGTACAAGTACCTACCTACATTAAAAAGAATAAAACTAGAATTGCTTTGCGGTGCAATACGTTGCAGTTTCGTTCATTAACATTGCTGTATCGCTCGTTAAAAATTAAAAATATACCGACTAATGTATGCAAATTTGTGTTTGTTTTTGTCCGAGCACTCCTCGCTTGTCTCAACCACTTTATGCTCGCATAAATTAAATGCCACTTTTCAATACACACAACCGCGAACCGCCGATATGCAATGTACAGTCGGTATTCACAATATTGAGCATTCTAACTCGAATAAAAATACTGTTTATACAATAAACAAAACACTAGATTTTTTAGATAATAAAATCTGTTTCATACACCAAGTACATACATATATTTAAAACGAAAAATTGCCAGGTGTTAAAAAACTTACCTTTTCGGAAAGGGCCATACATCACAGAAAAACTTACCATTTGATATGTGAATGCAAACAATCTGTTTAAAGTTGGCCCTTCAAAAGAGAAAGAGGAAAAAGGGAACAAGTGAAAGAAAGCACAACTGTCAACCGTTCGATCTGGAAACCTTAATATCAGCGATCCCTAGCATACAACTACATTCATACGCAATACACATATTTGTAATGGTTGTTAATTGTTCCCTTTATATTTTGGAGAGTTTAATAAAAGAGAATTAAGGAATCAAATGTTGCGATATCGTGTTCAGAGTTTTTTGTATGGTTTATACATTCCTTGTTCCTGTTACCATACATGTATAATGTGTGCATAGCCATTATACGTTGCTTATTGTTAATAGCTGGGTATAATAGGGTCCGATCAAGAACCTGTCTGGGTTACAACAACGATCGATGTTATCGTTTCGAAGTTTACGACTTCTCCAAGTAAAAAAATTCATTAACAACTAGATACCTAAAATTTGCTGACATTTTTGCAGTAAAATGTTGCACTATTAAAAGAGAAATAGTACACATAATAATTGACACTAGTAGTGCACTTGGAAATAAAAATTGAAACATGAAAATATTAATAGTACTAATACGTCGATCTAAAGTTAAGAGTAAATACAAATGAGTAACTGGGTGCGTAAAGATGTAGACGTGGTGGGCTAGTTAAACAAACGGTATATATGAGCGTTTGTGCTTACCCCCCTGGGGGTACCGTGGCGACGGCAGTGTCCGGTACGCGCGCTCTTTACTCTGCTCCCCCAGAGGGTCGACCAATTATCCGGCTGCCCGTGGAGAGACCGACTCCACGCTGGCGCACCTCACCGCAGAAGGAATGTATTTTAAATACTTGTAATACATACGTGTATCGATATATACTTCTTTTTAAACAAGCTCATATAATAAACAGTCGATACAGGATGATACATATTTTTGCGTTTTTCGATTCACGATTCATCTTTGAATAAAATGCAAAATTAAAAACTTATTAAACGGAATGAACATATCGAAATAAAATTTCAAATTCATGCAACTAAATTGATTTCGAAACATTTGAGTCAAGCAGTCTTTATCTAAATTTAATTGCATTGAATAGGCCAGACAGCGTTACAAAACGTGGCACTCCAGTTATACTAATAAATGCAATTTTTTAATTTTAATGTCTTTTTAGTTAAAAAGATCAAAAAGTAACAATCAGCAAAAGGGGCATATGCTTTTAATTTAGCAAGTATTGTATAAAATAAAATCGTTTTCTTTTTATTTACCTTGATGTACTTTAATATTAATATTTAAGTCATTTGCTATATCCAAATGCAGACAACGTATCGCCATCTAGTTGCTACCGAAGTAATTAATAAACGTTCTCAAGAGGTATAAAACCTAGCTGTAATATTTAAGTACAGGCAGTATACCGCCATCTAGTTGCTACTGAAGTACTTAATAAACTTAATAAACGTTCTCAATAGCTAAAAAACTATTTAAAATGTGCCTGTACGCTAGTTAAAAGAAACTTTAGTATTTTCAACTTTTCCAATTAATATATTCATATTTGCAGACCTCCAAAGAAGCACGTTTCAAAAATAACCACTTAAAAAATGCAAAAGTAACTGGCACTTACCTCTGTGTCGATCTTTTTGAATTCCTCGTCCTCTTCGTCAATTTCGAAATAAAGTTCGGCAGTGGTGATTGATACCATTCCGTTGGCAACTACTCCGGGCGCAATTAGCTTAGCTTTGGTGCTGATATTTACTGGACCTGCCAAAAAACAAACAATTACACTTCAGACATTCGCAGTTCACAACATCAAAGCATAACACGAATGTCGAACATGTGTTTGTTATTCCATTCTCTTGAGATCGTAGGTCAAAACACTCACCCGTTAGATCCGTGTCCAACTCCCTATCATCTGACATGAGTTCCGCATCATCCATCAAGTCAGTTGATTGTTGCATTTGTTGTTGTTGCTGTTGTTGGTTTCTAGTGGCTGCCAATTGGGAGTGAAATTCTTCTTGAGCCTGTAAACAAAACCAAATTTTGAAATCTAGGCTCAATATTACATAAAGGTGAATAGATTTACCTGAAGAATAGCATCCTCCGGCGCTCCATGTTCAATTGCTGCTTTAAGGGTAGCTTCAGGGTGCGTTGAACCCAAAGGATTGTGAACAAATCTTTTTCTACGCCGTGCATCATCTTCCCAAGCATCGAGTTTCCAAAATTCATTTAGTCTGCAAGGGATTAACAATTTATTGCGTTAAACAATTAAAAATGTGTCATAAAACAATAACTAAGATCTATCAGAAAACAAAAAATAATATCGAAAGTTAATTAACTTACTGGGCAGCCACTGGATCCATGTATCCCCACGCTCCGTGTTTATTCGACATAATATTACGAACTTTTTCTAAAAGTTTACTGGCAATTACATTGTCCCTTCTTCTAGCAGCAGTTATTAGATGATCACACATTCTTTCTTCTTCTTTTCTATCCAGTAAGGTTTGAGCACATTGAGACTAAAATAAACAATAAATTTAATTTAACATGCAAAGACCAACATTTTAAAAGAAAAACATAGTTTTTCAATTTTTAGCATTAATTTTTACTAGTTTTTATAGTAAGCCATATCATAATAGTCAAAATACATACAAAATACTGAATCCTCTTACCTCAAAATCGGCATGTTTCAGAACGTCGTCAGCTCTCATCCTGTTTAGTATGAACTCAGCCTCATTGGCAACTCTTACTATATGATCTTTCATAGCATGTGAAAGAAGCCGTCCTTCGTTGATTAGTTCTATAAATGCAAGTCCTGCGTGCTTCTGTAGCGAATTTTGCCATTCTTGAGAGCACAGCAACATTACTAATTCGACCACCGAAGTACTGTTCTTGAAGGTTGTTAAACCCTTTCCTTCCATAAGCAGTTCCTGACCGTGTGAACCGACTAATGTTTTGGATAGGAATGGAGCAAAGTCGACCATTATTTCGCGCAGAAGAGGACAAACTGACCCCAATGCCATTTCCAACTTTTGTGTCAAAGATGCTTCGCGAGACGGTGTTGGAACTGAGATGTGGTCTACAACCAGATTATTCATTGTCAAATCTTCAGCTCGAACGTGACTAGATGTTTGGATTATATTTTCAGGGACTCGAACCACCGAGATGTTGGAATGAGGTTTATCACCTCGCTGTTCCATTGTTTGAATATTACCCTCGATATCTACATGACCATGGGACGCATTACGAACATTCCGCGGATCTTCTTTACTGGGAGTATCTGAATCTTCTTCATTTAGATTAATATCTGTCCAGTTTTCATCGTTCGTTTTATTATCTTCAATTTCCAAACTGGGCTCTACGTTGTTAGTTTCAGATGATTGCACTGATCGCGTTTCTTCGACTGAATCAATGCTCTAATGAAAAGAAGGTTTTTTTTACATTCATATTAAATAATAAGGAGTGAGCTTTGTATTGTATTTTTGGGTATATAAGTGACCTTTTCTGTACATATCTTATTTACTTCTCAGGTTAACATACTGTTTTATTGTGTTCGTGAATTAACGTTTGTAAAAAATATATTATATAATAAGAATTGTCTCAACATAATTACTGCATTAAATTTTCTCAAAGAATTGCACTTCTATACATTCTACGGAGCATGCCGTTAATTATTATACAATGCAAACACACACATGACAGTAAAAAGAACCTGAAAGTAACTATACACACAAGAACTAACTAAAACTTGTATTCTGCTATCAGCTTATTCTCATTTAGACATCGGCATTACAATTGTATATAAACGCGGTAAGATTGTGTCAGTTAAAAAACACTGAAGGGAATACAAGTTTCCTTTTTATGAACAAGAAACATGAACGTGATGAGTACAATTTCAAGTATTATAGGATGCTAGAATAATGTGGTTTAATTTAATAATATTTACAAAAACTGTACTTAAAACGATCAGGTTTAATAGCGGAAATTACCTTCCGAGCACGAATATTTTCGTGAGTTCGAACATGCTTCGTTCCTTCCAGAGAATAATCTACAGTTACAGAGTACCCACGTCCGAGAGAGGGCCGCTGCCTAGAGCTAACCTGTTAAGAGCGTGCCCAGTGCATGTTAGTAATATGTTAGTAACCATAAATAAGTCAAGTATTCGTAGCGTATATTAATTATTAAAAACATACTACCGTTTAATTATTTTATTACTCTTTGTGAAACACTCCAAAAATAAAACAAAACTGTCATTTAAATGTAAATTTTCAAACACTCAAAAGAAAATTAGTCAAACGGTTTACATTATCTTTTTTATTTTAGCAAATACTTTTAAGTTAACCCCCCCCACTTTAGAAAACGATATTTTGTACAGTATAAAAAAATAACGATAATTAATATTATAAAAGAACTTTTTATGTACATAAAATACAAGTTAATTTTTTCTGATCAAAGTTAAATGTATAAATTTTAATTCATTATTTATGTAGAAAGTCTAATGAAACACCAACATGCAACAGATTTACGATAAGATGCAGTATTAGAATAAATTATGGATAGTTATCAGGCAAATGCCACACACGCATGCTTTTGTTGTTGTAACAAATATAATTAGCAAATTATCGTAAAAATACATTTTAGTATCTTATGGTTCAATGAAATACACAAACCTTTATTGAGGGAGGACCAGAGTCAAGTTCGTGGTCTTGTAATGTTGCGGAAGTGTTTTCTTCCATTACATAAGCAGTGATTACTTCATAATCTACCTCTTCCTGAGGCGATCTTGACGCTAAAACCACAAAAAACAAAACGTTGTAACCAACTGTATAGATTGGGTTATTTTTATGCAGTTGCTACATTTTGTAAGCTGCCAATCTTTTTTCAATGTGCTGAACATAAAAATAAAAGCTAAATAAAGACATCCAGTAAAAAAAGGATAAAAAGGTTCGTACCAGAGCGAAAACAAAATAATTGCCGAAGAAAAAGTGACATGCAGTGCATCAACATTGATAAACCACAAAAAACGGTAATTATATGACGCATTCTGGAAAAATCTATAAATGAAAAAAGAATATCGGGGGAGTGAGTGCATCACTATAATCACAATTTTGATCATCATTCCGAGAGAAAGGCAATTCTTTTTACCTTGATCTGAGACAGCTGCGTTTCTGTGGTACCGGTGATCGTATTTATGATGGTTGTAGTTATGGTGGTGGGAATGGTTGTGATTATTGTTATGATTGTTATAATAGTGTTTGGTATAGGAGTGACGGTATCGTACCGCGTAATTATGATGCGCGGTAGCGTTGGGGTGGGAACCTGGGAGAAATTGGGGATAGACGTGGTGCGACCATTGAGGGAAGAGTGGTCTCGTGCTGCCCTCTAAGTTAAACCACAAAGAAACGCATTAATTACACGTACACTTAGGAATACAAGCATAACTTTTTCCAACGTAAAAAAAGTAAAATAGAAGTAGATATACTTTGATGTAACTGTCAAGGCGATACTGTAACTATTTATATTATTTTTTACATTTTAACAAATAAATGCAGTGGAAGAAGGTCTGTTAACAGTCATGTGTTGCAAAGTTTCCTACCCTTTAGATTAAAAATAAATACGAAAAGGTCAATTACGAGGTTTACATCCGCGCAAGGGTACCATGGTACAGAAACATACACAATTTATTGAAAACTAAAACTACAATCATCATTGTAGTTTTCCAATATAGTTTATTTAATCTTCTAAAATCTATATTTTCACACGTCTAGCTTTAATATAGTCAGAAATGAGAAAATAAATGTCTGGCACAACTCCAGAAAAATATCTTAAAAGATGTCATTAAAATTAAAAAGAAATATATTTTTTCTTACGTTAGTTTATACGTGCAAATTATTAGAATATACAGACTACAAGTAATTATAATTCAACATATTTATTCTAAGGACGAAAATTAATGGAATATTTTAATGACTGCAGAAAAAAAAAATATGACAAACCTAAAAGAAAAACGTATCGATCAATTACCGGGATGTAATAATTCATAGAATTTATAATCTAATACTGCAGTGCAACGTGAATGTGATGCATGAAAAAATGATAATGTGTTCAAAAACAAAATGTATCAAAAGCTGTTTCATGTTGCTTTAAGCTATCTGACCTGACGATTTTAAATATTTTATACCATGTAAACCTTGTTGGGTGATATTTATCATAAAAAAAATAAGAAATATTTATTGCCCTTTAATATTTCGCATTAATAGAGGTCCTCCTTACTGAACATGAATACCTTTGTGTTTAACTAAATTTTTATAATAATAATTGTAATTTACTTACCTTGAGGACTTTCCGAGCGATGAGAAGTACCGTTACTTCTTATGGCAGGTGGAGGCGAAGGTGCACGAATAGATACGGGAGGTTCTAAAATGTCTCTATACTTAGAAACCATAAGAACCGAGATAAAATAAACAATGGCTAATGAAAGGAATTGAGCTTGTTTCGTTTCTTCCTGAAATTAAAGCGAAAAGATAATGTAATTACACATACAAAGTAACCGATGATACAACATTAATTTTATTTGTAACTTACCACATCTCTATATATCACTGCCCTTAACCGATTGACATCCATGTCTTGAAGTAACTTTTCAGGATCTTTTACAGGACTAGATTGACTCGATAAACTATCACTTACATTCTGAAACAAAACACAAATTAATTATGTTTAAAATTTATTACTTACAATAACTCAAAGAGGAAATTCGAAACTTACCTTTGGTGAATTTTGCGACTGTCCCCCTCTTATAAACGATTGTAAGTGGGATGCCTTATGGTTCGAATCCAGAGGGGCAGCGTGTGGACGGCTTCGCTCTTTACATTCCAAACAATTCCGGACAGCACAAGTGCATACCTAATTAAATAAAAATTTCCTTCAATACTATTCATACTTTTAAATTTGCATCTAAGGAAACATTAATAATATGTGCCTACCAATCTTAGACACTGACGTAAAATACCGCCGCTTGACATGTTTTTTTCCGCTTCCAACTCGGCAAAGTTAAGAGAACTAGCAAAAATAAGTACATCAGCCATATTCACTAATCTTTGTAAAAAAGATACGGCAACTTCTATGGGCATTCCCTGAGTTGGCTCTATCACATCCAATTCACTCTGAAATAGTAAACAGTAATATAAAATATATTTCACTTAACATCTGAGCTTATTCTGAATTAATCGAGTTAGTATTATAATATAATTACAATATTAATCTGTAGTACTCGAAAAACAGACTAAGATTAACAAATTAATTATTATACACCACATTAATTTGAAACTGTTGTTGTCTAAGATTAGTTAATTATGATAAAACTTACGTTTGGCGACGTGGCGGAGGCGAGAAGTGGCAGGAGTCCCCCGCAAGCTATTATTAGGTTGTCAGCCAGCTGAGAAATCAGATGGACTGTGTTTACCACGAATATTGCATTCTCGCTACTGTTGACAAAATCAAGGACTGATTTGGTAGAATGGCTTCTCCATACTTGGATGTCAGTTTCAAGAGAGAAAAGAACATCGGCCAACAGTCGCTGGTGGATATACGACCATTTAAACTCCGGTATCCGGAATGGGGGACGAGAGGGGCCTGGACTGAACATCGGTCTCGGTTGATTTCCATTGGATTTTAACCGTTTTGAATCGACTATTTAAATATAAGCTATAATTATGGACTGTCAATAACAACAGTTGATGTAAGGAAATATCTTTTAGTGTAATTTCCACTTAAATATTTGAAGATACCAAGAAATAAGTATATCTACTTTTCTCAAAAAGTATTCAAAGACGAAGTTATTTCCTTTAAAGATATCATAAATAAAAGTACTTACCAAAATGTTGGGGATCCACTTGAGTGGACGTCGATGCACTTCGTGGCCTTTTTTGTGGCGATTCTTGATGTAATTTATCCCCAGGTGCATTTTCAGAATTTGATGGTAAACTAATGCGTCGCTTGATCTCTTCGACTTGTTGCTTCCTTTTCGGCGATTCGTCGGCTTGTTTTTGAGGTGACGAAACAACGTCTATTTGTTTATTAATATTATTGTTATTATTTTGATTCGGCACAGCACTATTTTCACTCGATATTTTGATGAGCGCGTGGTTGTTCGGATCACAGATTTGAGAAATTGTAGGAATATTATCTACCGATGGCACATCACCCGTCGCTTCCTCCGCTGTGGTAGCGACATTTTCTTTGTCTTTAGCTTCTACTTCGGTAACGATAGTTTCGGTTTGGGTTTGTGAAGTGTTTTCTAGACTAGAAATATTATTGGACGGCTCTGGTTCCACTAGCACAGCACTTTTTTCATTAATTGGCACAGTTTGAACATCAATTTGATTTTGTGTTTCAACATTGTTATCTTCTTTAGATTTATTATCAGGGGCGCAGTTTTCCGAATGATTGTCTGTTTCTCCGAGAACGGTTTCTAACGGCTTAGAAACCTCGTTTTCAGTTTCAACTTCTTGAGGGTTATCATCTTCTTTGCGTTCGTTCAATTCAGTAGGGGTGAGATACCTTTCGGAAGCGTCGCTGTCAGGAACTTCCTTTTCTGGACTGGGTATTTCAAGACTTACAGTTCGTGGAGATGACTCAGATGGCGATTTTTCTACCAGAACTGCTGATGGGTCTTCCTTCTCTTCTATTTCTTCTGGTCTTTTCTCAGTTCCGCTAATTGTACACACTACTTCTTTAATTGCTTCAACAATTTCCTGGTCTTGAATCACTGGAGATGATCTGGAATGTTGCAAGTCCAATGCAACTTCCTCTATATGTTTCTCTAAAAGTTCTTCCGACCTGCTGATTATTTCTTGTACAATGTGTTCTGAAATTTTAAAATAACAATGCATACTAAAAAATGATTAAGGTAGTAACCATTTACCTAAAACCTTGACCTTAATTTAAATGCTAATTTTTTTTCTTCTTGGATATACAAAATACGAACGCGATCTAATAAAACAACCAATTTCTCCTTAAATTAGATTATTCTAACCTCTTAAGATTAAAGTTTTATAAAACGATAACAAACTTGTATGACGGGAAAAATGGGTTGCTCATAGTAAGTTAAACAAACAAATATCTTTAATATGCCTTACCAACAATTTCAGTCTTTGGATCCTTGTCAGGATCCTTATGGGGACTTTCCAAACTTGTACTACTCCTACTGTTGATTCCGTTACATACGGGTGACAAAGGATCGACCGGTTCCTCTACATCTTCAATTATTTGTGATTTTAAGGGCGAATCTTGGGAGTAGGGCGATTCTTTACCGATTTTAACATCACTATACAAATCACTCGTCCTTGAATCTAACGAGACACCTTCACTATCGTCGTGTTTTGTCAAGTAAGAAGCGGGACTGCCATCTGACATGGGCGAACTTAAGTCACAATGACAGCCTAAATCTTGCTTTTCGGGTTCAATTTCGCGTACTTGCGTTGCTGTTTGGTACCAATGATCCTCTCCTTGATGATGGTAGCCATTGGGAAGGGCGTGTGCAGCAATCTGTTGTTGTTCCCAGCCCGAAATTGTACTAATAGGACGCTGTTGGCGCACCATTGGATCAGTAATATTATCCGTTCTTTGACGTTCATATTGTTCATACATTTGGGCAAATTGAAGCTTAAATTCTTCATAAGAAACCTAAAAAAAATGTTAATATTCATTCATAAGATGTAATAAACTTTCAATTGTTACACCCTGAATAATAAATTACCAAAAGCGTACCTTCGAATGTACAATTGCTAATGTATCGACCCATACTCTCCAGCCTCCGTATTCGTATTTTATGGCATGATGTAGTAACATGCGAAACAGGGAGTAAACCATATCTGAAATTTTCTGCTCTTCCGAATTCTTTGGGTGTATATACGCCATGGCGATGAGCCATTCCTGCCAAACGGACATTTGTAATACAGTTCGTCTGTTTTCACGATTACTGTTACATAGCAGGGTCATATCCGATAAAAACAACTTTTTTACTTCCAAAAGATGATCAGTTTGTTTCGATTGTCGTATAAGAGTGGCTACTACTTTCAGAATCACTGCAAAAAATATAAATTTAAAGGTTTATGTTCAGTGATATAATTACTTTTCATTTCAAAGATAAATAAATTTTGTGTTTTTAACATACACTTATTAGCTACTGAATTATCTGAAACGTTTTTGAATACATAGTTATAACATTAAATTAAAAAAAAAACAACTAAGTTATCCGAATGTTTACCTTATTAAATAACTACAGTAAGTGGAAAAACGTCCCTGTGCTAGCGGGCAATACCCAATTTTCTTCGTATGTACCTTTCGTTTGATACACTTACGATTATATAATACTTACTTGGATTTTCTAAACGGAAATGCGACTCAGGCTCCGCGTGCCTTGTGTACAATATTTGTTGACTAATGTGTTCCGTCATTATTTCATACAGAACATTATACGTTGGCAATGTAAGAGTATTTTCATTAAGAAGTAGACGTTCGGCAAGCAGCGTATACAAATTGAAAGGACTCATTACGTCGTACTTTCTTTTATGAGTGCTTCGACTTAAGAAAAATCCGAGCAGTTTGAGTGCCTGCAGTCGAATCAGTTGACTCTCAGATGCGAGCAGTTTGAAAATTGTTCTAACACCTTGTTTGCAATCAAACGCTGGCACCATTGATGATGGATGCTCTGACATCAAAGATATTAACATTTGGAGGACGTCGTGTAAATTCTCGTCCTTGAAAGATAATAATATCATGGTATACTTATTATAAAATTTTAAATTGTAATTAAAAGTAAAAAAGCCTCTAACTTCTAATTCTCTTTTGGATAATAATAAAAAAAGCACATGTTAGAATATTAAGAATTAATTGTGCACATACGTAAGTATAAGTATAAATAGTTTCAGAAATTAAACTACCTCTTATACAAAATATTTTGAAAAGCAAAGTTGAAACCTACTTCATGTATTGTGGTAAGATAATTTAAGACGCTCTGCAGTTCGTCATCTTTGACCCCATTGCCGATCATAATAAGTTGCTTTAAAAAAAGCAAAATATATGCTCTTATTGCGAGAATATCCTTTTGACCAGGTCTCGGCCCATCTAAAGAACAATTTAATTTGTACTTATTAAAATTATTACAAATCTTCGTAAATTTACCTAAACCTTTGGGCGCTATTCCACTCTTAGCCCTAGGGTTTACCACCCAGTAGTAATATTTCAATGTGTGTACCGTTTGTAGAACAGTTGACACCCTTCTCACGTTCGAGTAAATTTGCGTGTCGCTTAGGAACTCGGTTGCCAAGTACGAGTACAATTTCATCTGTACGGGTGCGGGGGTGTAGATCCATAGAGCGGGGTTGAAAAGTACGTGATCCAACAGCTGCCAGGTCAGGAACGAGAAGCAGAACAACTGAATCAAAATGAATCTAGCTGTTCCCTGCACTTACCCCTTTGATCGTTTTTAACAATAGATTACGAATTTAAAAAAAGACACGCAAAAAGAGTAACGTATAAGTTCTTAAAGTCGTTATCTAACTTACAGCAATTATATAATAATTCGTTCCGAATCTTATATAGAAACATATCCCTTTATTGTAATATTAAAATTATTTCGATCTCAACCTAAACACTCTTAAGATAAAAGAAGCGTCTAAACTCAACAAAATATAACACTTAATCATTTTTCTATTATTTCTGTAACCATTATGTACTTCTTCTTATAATTAAAAATTTTGAAGAAAAATAAAAGTTTGCAAAACTTTAGAATATCTTAATACAAAAGAAAACAAGCATATAAGTAGATTAAACGACATTTAGGAACTTGTGTAACAACAATAATTAAAAAACGATAATAATAAAGACAGCGCCATGCAAAGAAAAAGTAAGTACAGGGCTGCGGTGATTGTGGCAAAGGGTTGAAAAATTTGTGCAAGAAGCAAACTGATGTATGGCGATATTTATAAAAGAACGGCAAGGGAAATATTGTCATTTTTTTCACAAAATAACGAACTTAAGATATTATTCATTGGTTGTATACATAATTGTGCTCATACTCATGCACATGTTCATATAAAAGAATATATTATAGTAAGTATGAGGTACGATTATGCTAAATAAACTGAAGTTGTAACTTTTAATTCAAGCGCATAACAATAATAAATACATAAGCGACAATGTGAGATGTAAAAAGAAATTCATGCTATTTAAACAGAAGCACAATGAATATGTTTTCATAAAATGTAATTCGAAAAGATAAAACAGCGCTTGATATGCCTCACAAAATTGTTTAATAAAAATGTGGTTCATAATTTTATTATCTTAAATATATAAAAATAAGGCAGACTATGTGATCTTTCATTGATTTATTATCATCTTTTTGAATAGTGAATTGTATTTTTGTTTAACCCTTTGTTATTAAAAATGGAGGGCGGATAAGCCCAACCACTACTTTTACGGATTTCGTTACAATTATGTGACAATTAATGCCTCTTAACAAAACTAGAATATGCATAACTTGTAAATTGTGAAGCAGTCAACAAAAACAAAGTATAACAGCAAAAATCATTCTGCTTAGACTGGTGCCGTCAGTTTGCTTAGCCATTAATCGCCTTAAATATAAAAACAACTTAAATTTTATGAATAACTTACCTGCTTCATGAGCAGCTCGCTGTTAGCAGTTAAGCAGGTAACAAGGTATTTGGTTAAATTTAAAAATGAGCCAAGCACATCAACGGTAAGATGATCTCTCGACGATCTTTGCAACATGAAACTTATCACAAGAAATCCGCGGTTTTGTATCATGTGTTGTTGAACCGTTTGCGAAGTTTCTACCAATTCACATATGAAACCCAACAATTTTGAGCTGAAACACAATTAACATTTCTTTTATAGTAAGTATTAATATTAAACCATCTATTGATATAGTAATGTTTAAAAAATTTTAATTATGTATTATTAATGTATATTTGTTATTACAAATCAAAATTAGCATCAGGGAAAAACAAATATGCTGATCAAAGATATAAATTCAGAAATGAAAAAACGCCTTTTTTTATTACTAACTGGTATTTAACTAGAATGTAATCCAATAAATTTGACGAGCCTAAATGTAATAAGATAAATAAATCAAATCTTACCACAAAGTGGGATCTCGTTTGGAATCTGTGGAATCGTTACACTCATAAGGCATGTCCAATTGAGAGAATAATGGAAAGAGGACTTGAATTCCGCCAATTGAATTAAGAGTGCTATGGATGGAATGTGTTATCACAGCTTTCACATCCTGCACAAAATGATCGAAATAAGATAAAGGCTTTGCTGTTTTAACAAATAAGAAAAACCATTATATTTATCTACGAATTGCGAACGTTTTGACTTTTCAACTATAATGTAAATGGGTACAAAGTTGTAATAAAATATATATTTTGATAAATAAAAAGAAAAATATACAAAAAGCAGTTTAAAATTGTAAAATAATCCTTGTTTTTTTGTNAAAAAAAAAAAAAAAAAAGTTAAGTACTATTCAACTCATCAAATCAGACGGTTAAATGAGTTCAAATTACAGCAATGTAGAGTTACAAATGACCTAGTTTTTATAAAACCTTTACTTCACTTATTATTGACACATGAATAAGTTACATTGCATTTTATCCTACTCTATAACAATGAAGAACAGATTTCAATGATACTAGTAAAAATCCGAGGTTAACAACGCCAATTCATGCGGCAATGCATACGCACTCAAATTAATGAAGTGCTACGTGCACTTAACTAGGATAACTGTACTTATCCTCATATCTATTATTTCATTAATTATTTATGTATAAACTTTGATTCCATCGTCATTGCTTGTAACTTTAAACAACAACTTCAACCAATTTAAACAGTAACATTACAATTCAACACTTACCTGTAACATAAGAGCGTGGGGTGTGTGTACGAAGTACGAAACGTTGCCTTTGGGGGCAGACTGTAAGCAAAGCTGGCTATCAGTAGCTACCGGATTGTACATGAACACGATGGCATTCGACAGTTTCCCATCATACAATACCTATTAAATAAAAGAAAAATGACATTCACAAAAGAAACAAGCGTTTTACAACCTTATAAGTAGTTTATTCAATTTAAAACACACAAAAAAGAACACTAAATAAATGCAAGCTGATATAATACCAAGTTATTAGCCGAAGAGTATATCGCCATCTACTGACATTTCATATGTTTGGTAAGGGCTTTACAAAAGCAACTACTTATCAATTCAAATCTACCATGCAGCTTATATATACATATACATATGTGACAGGACGTAATGTTCTTTATTAATTTGGTTTAAGTGCCAATCGCGTACCTTATAAGCTTCTTGGTATATCTGACCTGATAGGTACATACTTTTGTAAGGCCCATGTTAAACATATATACTACAACAGCTTGCTGTAAATACCAGTAGATGGCTATACACTACCTAATGTGACTAAAAATGAAAACATGCAATTTCTAAAAAGTAATTATAAGTACCTATGCAATATAAAAGCTTCCAAATAATAAAAAATAAATAACAGCATTAAAATTCAGAGCTAATTCTATTACCTCACAATCTGATTATTGCATGTATAACAGACAGAAGAGCAAAATAAGGAATTTGAAATGTAAAATAAACAAAAAAATAAAAACGTGCTTACTGATACATCGGTGCCTGGTTGCATGCTACTTGAATGGTCACTGTTTTCACTCACCCTTTTATGATTATCAGGAAGGTTTAAATTACACTCATTTTCAAACCTGAACTGACTCTAAAAATAACAAATAATAAATGTATTACAAGAGAAATATACAGAAAGACAGAACATCCAATACCCTATGCAACCTCCACTAAACTTCTACAATTCGTTTATTTTTTGATATATACGCTAAAGATAGTTATTTTGCCACATAGATTTTTTCGATAAACATGTCCAAGATAAACGATGACTGTATAAGGTATGGTTTACAAAATAAAGAAGGCAGGGGTGACGTTAAACGGTACCTTATATCCGGGCCCAAGCCTGTGCATGGCGCAGATTTGGTGCGTGGTAAGCGCTTCGCTGAACAAATAAATCGCGGACATTTGTCCACAAAACACGCGTTCCTCGTCTAGTTCAGGGGTCGCTCCAATGTAACATTTGTCAAATGGCTGAAAATATTAAACGATAAAGAAACGTTGCATCTATCTTTTAATATTACAAGAAGAAGTGAAGTACATTGTACAAAGCAGAATAAATTACTGTCACGTATTTAAATTCCTTTGCGAACGTTTACTACTTTTATTTAACTATTTGCTGTCTAATTAATACTTTTATTGTTAATTAGCTATCAATTTGCAACTATATGAACACCTCGTCACTTCTTCGCTTTACTACTGACTCACGACAACTATTTATAGACCGGCCGTTTTCTAGAATTTTTTCCAGTATGTCCTCTGGAAACGTGACCTTCTTTGCCCCAATGTATGTTGGGTTGCCTACATACACATGACAATACTTTGTCTTTTTTAGAAGGAATAAGTGTAGATCTTACTATTAGGAATTTTATAACTGCTGTGAGCAGCTTATAAACTTTTCTTACCAGTTCTGAATAATGCATATATAAAATTCTTTTAGACCATGGCACAAAAGCTCCGAATTAAGTTTATAAGTTATTCATAATTATTAATCGTTTATCCAATTAATTAATATGTGTTACACAAAATAACCATTTGTTTTAAGAAAATCTGAATTATACGAAGCTGCAGTTACCTCGTTTGTCGAAACAAGCCAAGCCATCTCGGTACTAGAAGCTAACTGACCATTAACCAAACATTTTATTTCACTTTTTGTCCATCGGTTGTAAATATAAACTATTGCAATCATGTACCACTAAAAATGATAGCAAATAAATTATTAATAACAGTAAAGCTACAGCATCTTTCTATTGAAATAGGAGCTGTAATATACCTTCCTAGGTTGAAATTCATATTTGACACAGTGTTGGAAGCCCTTGCCCTTAATTTTCATAGAAGTTAAAACTAAACAATTTCCTACAAAATGAGCTGAATAACCCACTCCTTTACTAGTTTTGAAACTGCAAACAAAATAAATAACTTAATACATTAAAAACAATTTGCTGCAATACAACTTACCAGTATAAGTACGGCTTTTCCCTTTCTATATTAACCGAATTAATTGGATCTAATCTAAACCATGTAGTGAAAGTAAAACCATTTTCATATGGCCATTTCGCCAACGGTGGAAGAACTATTGCCTAAAACAAAACAGTACAACAGTTAGGTCTACACATGAAATATGTGGCCTGAAATTTGTATTATACCTATATATATTTAATTTTTGCTAATTTCAACTACTTTTATTACTTTCTTAATTACGTTCTTAATTTCGTTGACGTTAGTACCTGCTTCTTAAACGTGTCTATGCACTGCTTTAGTAAAAAATAAGAAGTTATAACCTTAAATAACTACAACTGAAATTTTTTAAAATTAACCCTCCGGTAAACATTATATAATTCTAAAATATAAGCTAAAAACAAACCTTAAATGAAATTCACCATTTTAAAATATTAACTAAATACTGTTCCTGATATTTTAGAGAAAAAAATGATTTTGGTAAATTTTTACGTAACCTAAAATTAGATGAAACGAAGTGCATCCAACAAGGCATCGAGGGTTACTGACTCAGGAATGCAATTTCATTCATTATAATACTATCGATGCATCTGATTGGCTATAGTGACGGCGGCCATCATGCATATTTGTTAAAACTAGGTCAAGTTCGGCACGTTACGCTGAATGGAATGTGTAGGTAAACAAACCTAGGCGCCACTTGTAATAAACAAAGGTATGGGCCACATGCAATACAAATTTAAAAAATGTATAACTGTTGTTTTTAAACCAATTTAGATGCGGTTTTCACCAAAATTTAGAAAATTCAATGACGTTTAACGCTAAAACGAAATACACAAACTTAAATGGTATACTCGATTAAAAAAAATGTTTTACATTTTACCTCAAGTTTATAACAGCCTATATACTGTTCTTCTTCAATCATAACAATAATACTAAGGAAGTTAATTAGAAGGGCAATACATATAATAATATAAATATGTGCTTCAGAGGAAACTTTGCTTACTGAGAAAGGCCTGGGTTGATTGCCTCATTAATTTGCTATAGCTGTTCGATTAATAATAAAAATATGAGCATCTAGCCCATTTTAGTTTATTACAATGCAAAAACAAAGGACTCGAGAACATAAAATACTATCGATAAAATAATTACGTATCTTACATAAATTCTGATCAACGATAACCAAAAAATATGTAATGTTTTACAGATACTATACGAATATTTTATAAGTTACGTATTTGAATTTTATATTCAACCTCGTAAATAGATTTATTTACTAGTTTTTAACACCGTTTCTAGAATTGCCTTTGGGCGAAGCAACCACAATAAATCATGTAGAACAGCGCAGCAATTTACTGTCAACATTACATTGCACATGAAAATGCAGAAATTCGTGTTCACTTTTCGCGTAATATTTAATGCAAAAAGCACTTCATTCGGTACAAGTGCTCCTATACTATGAGATACGAGCATGTTCGCTTTATTTCTACTTACGGAACATTCGCAGTTCTGTAAAATTATTATAGAAAGCCGTTTCAGTTACGGAAAACTAACCTTTTCGACGTTACTAAAATGTCTTCCCTCAGTTGAAAATGAATCTGGCGAATGGGAATGTTTAAAATGTAATAAAACTTGTTCTTTTCTACGGATGGGAAAATGGGTTTACAGTTGTTTAACTTGACAAAATACTGATCAAGTAAACATTTATGAACATGCATTCGCTACAGTAATATGATTGACGAATAGTGTTGTCATTGTGGACAATTACGGTGGCAAAATTTGACGTAAGAAAATCGTTTAAATCCGTAATCGAAATATTGAAAATTACTAGGTAAAAAGAGAAATCGGTCAAAATAATGAACGTGAATGCGGTTGATATAGTTGTGCAAAAACCGGCACCGAAAAAGAAGACTTCGAAGGCCGGTAAAAAACCGAAACGACCAAAAATCAAGGGATCAAAAACGTCCAAGGATCCTCTGAAAGAGTACATAAAGGAGACAACTAGTGAAAAATCAAAAACATTGGACTTACAGAAAGCTATGAAGAAACTAATTAAAAGGAAAGCCAAAGAGAACGAAGATCCAATAAAGCCGTCGTTGAGTAGGCGAAGAGCTATTGGAGTTAAAAGACGCGGACCATCCGGAGAGAAACTTCGAACATTCGGACAGGTAAAGCAGAAATCGTCACTTAAGAAGAAATTCGACGATAGAAAGAAACTTGAAGAAATGCTAAACTTTGCCAGGTATAATATCGCGCGACTTAGTTCCACGGATACGCCAAAATCTCTGCCGGACACCACCCCTAAAACCACAACGAAAACGAAAATAAGAAAGTCAAAAAAAACAAAAAGTCCGACGATAATACACGAATCGGTTGAACCAGCTATTAAAACTGTAATGGGCGTTGCAGCGAAACCCAAGAAAAAAGTGTTGAAGAAGCGCAAACCTGGCGTTGCGAAGCATAGAAGTTCAGATTCACCAGTTGTACCGATCATGACTAACATTGGTAAAGTGCGAGCATCGGCACCTGTTACTTCTAAATTCGAACAAAAAATGTCCACCGTTTACGAAGTTATGGAAAATGAATCTAAGATCAAGAAAAGCGTCAAAGGTGGTGCAAAGAAAAAGGCCAATAAGTCGAAAACTATTCCAGGAGGCACTGCAAAGGTCAATTCATAGAACACTGCTATAAAAAAAGCCGCGTATCTCCTATTGCATTGCTGTTTTCGGTGTACTCAAGAAAATAAAGTGAGTAATATGTTGTTTGATCCTCATATTGATTTGTGAATATCACACAATAAGGAAAAACGTCGAGTAATATCACTTTATTTTTCAATTTCTGAATTATTGTAAAAAGTAGAAGAAATAAATACGGAGTATGTCCTGCCACCAATTAGTTCATTTTAAAGCAACTTTTAAAAATTAAATAATGTTTGAAGGAAATCCAAAAAGATTTCGCAAAGGTCCGCCGTATCCAATATTTACTTTCTTCACAATTTCTAATTCTTCCCCTTATGTGAAGGCCGAAATTTTCTTCTAGTAAGCAATATAGGGACGAAAAGAGTGTTTCTTTTAATCTCATACGAAAAGGTATTTTTGTTTGACCAATATAATTAATTGTACAATTGTTACAAGGAATTTTGTAAATATGTGAATAAGCTCATGCATTATTTTGTTGTTGTTATCCTATAATACAAATTTTCTCCACCTTATTGCACAATACGAAGAAATACAATACATATTCTACTTTGGATCAAATTATTTGCGCACGACCAAAATAAACATACATGAAAATATGTATGTTTACAAATGGAAATTGAGATTTATAAGAAATTTAATAAAACCGTTATTGAAAAATACATGTATATCTGCGAAAGGTAGGCATATCGTAGCAATCCATGCGTAGTTCAAACCTACACGTATTCAATATACGGGCGGCAGCACGAGTGACACAAAAATCATATCAAAAAGCTACAGTTCAATATGAAAATAGGATTTCGATTTACAAATTGCAACAACATCGAATGCAAATAAACTATAGGCAAAATGATTTCCTTTTCAAAAAAGCAATTCTATTTATAGAAAAATATTACTGAAGGCGATAAGCGTTCTAAACATCCTAAATTTATCAAAAAGATATAAAATCTGGATTATTCGTCAGTTTACCATTCTCATTATCAGCGTTAAACGTATGAACAGATGGATTTTGTGAGGATTGAGGTTTCTCCTTTTGAGGATGGGAATTATAAATTTTTAAAACCAAAATTGTGCGAACCCGAATTCGTATTATTACCACAGAGGTAGGATAAGGAAATATCCCTTGAGTTTTGCCGATAATAAATTAAAAGTAATAATTAAAAAAAGTTTAAGGCCTACATCACATAATTCTACCTTCCATTTCGGCTTTAAGTGCTTATTTCAAAGATTCTGAATGATAATTAGGAAAAAATGAGAACAATTTTTTTAATTATGTATAACTGTCATTTAAAAAGTCACTTTTGATGTCCTCGCTCGTGTAAAAGGACGCTTAGGTGTAATAAATCCTTTTAGGGTCTATATAGTAAAAAGAAAACTAACACTACTGGCAACAACCACTAAAAAATATTTAAATCGAACGTGGAGTTTTCATCAGTTGACAAAAACTTTTCATCGTCTTCGTTTCAAACGATGTGAAATAAATTTAATTTACCTTCGCTGACAATTCCATCAATTTCCAACTTTTTAATAAATTCAAGGTAATTTAAATAAGCGAATTGTGAACCGAGTTAAATCGGAACCGAAACGAATTAGGATCAACTCACCGATCCTTTGCGTCCAGGAAAACTGAAGAAAACATCTGGACCATGTCTTTGAGGCATCTGTCTGAGCACGTTCAGGAGCTTTGCCGAATGACGTGGCTGAAAAAAAGTTGACCTAGATACTTACTAAAGTAATCCAGAAATATTTAGTAGGATAAGAAAGAACGAAAAGTGGAAGTATTTTACTTTTGTAATTATTTTGGGCTTTTTTTCCTGTAGTTTAATTAGATAATTTACAAAACGAGTAAACAAAGTGTTCGAAAATAGAATTTTGATGCAACTGCAGTAATTAGAAACAATATATTTAAAAAGTAAGTATCATAATGTCATTGTTTCACTTATTATGTATAAGCATATTACTAGGTTTTCTATAAAGAAATGATAAAATGTCTGTGAAATTTTAACGGACTTACCCATTTTCCATTAATGGCTTTCATAGCACCAAATAGTAATTTCAATTCTCTTACAGTGATACTGTAGCTTGCCAGTACGCCAAGCATTTCTATGAGCAAATCTAAAACAAAAAGAAATGTTGTTCAAAAATCCACTTTGATGTTAATAAGCATAAATCGGTACTATATTCATTGTTTTTAGGGTGCATTTTCAATCCGTGCTTTCGTTGCTTAAACAGCTACATTTATTAAGATTCAATCAATTTGGAAAACATAAATTGATCCACAGCTTTCAGTAATAACAAATTATACATCGATTGGACATAACTGGTCTTTATTATGAGCTTTTTGTAATAGTGCAATACTTTTTAGCCATTAATATTCATAATGGTATCGGTTATTCTGAAGAAAAACAACGTTTTAAAACACATCGAATAAAACAAAAAACAAAATAGAATAAATTACGATACTTTTGCGATAAAACGTGATTATCGACTGTGAAATCTATTGAACACGTTTGTGTAAATGTGTCGGTAACGTTAGCATCAAGATTTTCTAGGTAATGTCATCCTGCTGTCAGTATTTTACAAATCTGTTACAATTTACATGCGAAAACTGCCTGTCACATGTCGGATGCAATTTAAATATATCCAGAGGTCATTTATCGTGAGACGAATTAACTTGTTACAATTTAAACACGTCCGTTCGTAACAGGTATTCAATTCGGCTCTCTGCTTCTTTAATGTTTTTTTTTGTTCAGTCATCTAACCGTAAGTATCTTCACGAAAACCTTGTAAACGTGGCCTATCACAGAATTTTCTCTTATTTCAATATTAGTTGTCGATTTTGGAACAAACTCTCGATACTTATCCGAGTAATAAAGCCCTCTGGAGACGAATTACCCGGATGAAAGTTCTGAACAAACATCAAGACGAAATGAAACTTTACGTAATCGTCAATTACGGAAGCCGTTGCGAATGACACCAGCGACTGCATACCAAGTGACCCTTATTGTTTTAGACCGAAGCAATTTGAATTTCTCCAGCGAATCAACATTTTCAAGTTTCAACTTTAAATTAAGCAAACGGAGATAAATCGTCCGAATGGGACTTTGTTTCCTTTAAAGTGCAAGTCAAAAATACTTTTACTCAGTCTGTTAGATGCTTACTGTTGTCGGAACAGTATTTAAATAAATTTTCGGGCATTTATTTGCGATGTAACATGATTCCTGTTAAAAATGTGCCTTCCAATTATGGCCTTCCTCTTTTTACACATTAATATTGTGAATATGATACCTGCTCTTTATTTTATAATTTATGCTGTAATTTGACCTCGATAGTGGAAAAACTTGTGAACAAAATCGATTGATCTATTTAGGCTTTTATTTTGTTTGGCGTGAATCGAATCTCCCAAACGGGAGACATCTTCAGTGAGTCTCCGTAGTCAACATACCAATAAGATACGGATCCGGTACGGTTAGAGTCCGGATGCGTGTAAATTAGTCTTTAAAATTAATCTGCCAACGGTAACAAAAAGAAAATACAATGCAAGTTAAAAGCTTCCCTCAGTTCAGCTTACTTTTAGAAAGTTAAAACTTTAACTGAGTTGTACTTGTTTCAAAAGTTGTAAGAACTTAGTTTTGAAACAGTTTCTCATTGAATTGACGTGCAGTGAACAGCGTATTTGAAAATTTCATGGTGGAAAATTAATATTTAAAAGGGTTTATTCTGGAAGTGCTATATTTCTCCGAGAGTTCTGCTACTTCCATGCTTCAGAAACGTTCTGTACGAAAAGAAATGAACATGGAAACGTTGCAGTGCATACAAATGTGAAGTGGTGTTTACTTAATTAAAAACGTCGTGCTAAATTCTCTTCACTTAATCGACAACATAAAAAAAAGGCGACACACATTACGACTTTATTGATTACATTTATTATATTTCTCTAATAAAATTATCTACTTCCCCGTTCCAAACAAAATTTGACCACAAAGACATTAACGTTAAGGCGGTAACTTCATTAGTATTATATGATTGCAACCAGTCTTTTAATATTCAAACAAAGTAAATTTACATTTAATAAAGTAGCGGATTAAAGTCTAAAATGAAAAACTGATGTATAATTAACTTTTATAATTAAGCGCTCCAAGAGAACGTGTTTAGACTACAACGATGAAAAGTTCTTAATTAGTTCAACCTGCTAAAACTTGTAGCTTCATTGTCTCTTGGAGACTAGTGGAAATGAATTGATATTTTACAGCATGACAACGTACTATCATAATTCTTGTAGTAAACACAGTTTAAACAAATGCGAGGCCTGATAAAATTCTCATATTAGAAGGAGATGATTGCCGGTGCTTCTAATCAATCTAACGCAAATTTGTCCAGAAATAGAAGGGCCTGTCCTTGGGTAAATGTTTGAATGAAACGTTCATGGTTAGTTTTTCCGCTAAAGGGGTGTACAATTTGACGTGTAGGTATTGATTTAGTTATTACGGTTAATTCTTGACTGACCCCACGGTTTATTCCAGTTTCTGCTTTTAGTTTTCATGTTATCTTTCGGATTACCGAAAAGACGAAAATTGCTTGAACACATTTTGTAACATGTTAGCCAATTTGTAAGGCTAGCTACAAAGTAGCACATTACAAATTATCCACATTATTAAAGTGTTTTGATAGGTGTATAAAATGCATTTCCCGGCAATCGGGCTTGGCGACTCGAAATCATTTCGACATCATCCAGGCGTTTACGACGACGGAAAGGATTCTGTCTCGAGATTTACAACGTGTTCACAGGATAAAGGGGCAATAAAGTGGTGATGAAGGGAAATTAATCTCACATTACCGCTACTTTGTAAAGCTAATTTGCAGAAAACTGACGAACCGCTACGAGGATGAAGAAAATTTATCAGGCCTTTTCGAATTTTAAAATAGAAAGGGTCTCCACACCACACAATAAAAACTTCTCTTCAATGTTCTTTTTGATGAGTTATTAAGAGCCTATCAGGAACAACATGTACTTTTATTTAATTAAAACTTAAACTTAAACCGTTTTACATTGTTTCGGAATGTATTTGGAAAGAATGTTATCGATTTTGTACTACTTAAGTTATCCCGCGGTAGTCAATAATTTCGAGTAATGGAACGGAAGAAAGGCGAAAAGCGAAATTGCCTGATTGAATTGTTAATGAGGTTAATTCGGCAGATAAGATTAATTGATCGTCGTGCATATGACGTGAAAGCTTTTACAAATGATGGAAGAATCAAACCCCTAAATTAGACCCGTTAAACTTTACTTACTCAAAAATTTCCATTTTTAATGTATCTAAATAGACAAAAAGTTGACGCAGACTTTTCTGCCACATCTAAATAAAACTCCAGATGCACCCTAGTGGCGTCAATTCTTTATATTCCAAATTTCTAATCAAAAATTACTGAAATTCCGTATGATTCTGCCAGAATGCCACATCATCATCATTATCACAAACTCGTCAGTCCTAAGACTAATTGGACAAGCATCTTCACTCATTCCTATCCTAAGGTAATCTTCGCATTACCCTAAAACTAGAACATCCCACATCTAATCTAATGTAGGTCTACTTGTACTTCTCTTAATTCCTACTATTTACTTCTCTACGTTGCTGCACCAGCTCTATAAATGCCTGTTACAAACTACAATAAATATCACTCTTCTATCTTTGTAACTCATCCGTAACATTTTTAAATATATTTAACACCTTGTCCCATTTAACATTGTCAAAAGCTTTTTCTAAATTTACAAATCCTATGTACGCGCTCTTTCCTTTTTCTATCATTTTCTCTATTGTTACCCGTACAGCTAGAATAGCCTCCCGCGTTCCTCTATTTCTTCTAAACCCAAATTGGGCTTCCCCTAATAATTCTTCTGGCTTTTTTTCCATCCTCTTCTGTACAGTTCTAGTTAAGATTTTTGACGCATTTTTACGCTAATTGTTTTAATTTTCTCGCACCTATCCGCGGTCTTTTTAGATATGGTTAGTATCACGTTCCGTTTATAATCCTCCGGGACTTTCCCCGTCTCGTAAATGTGACTAACTAGATTAAATATACGATCTCTAGCCTTTTATCCTGCATGATTTAAAATTTCCGCTTGTATCCCATCTATACCTGCCTCATTGTTTTTTAATGCTAAACTGAACTCTTCTCTCATTATGGGATAACCTAATTCATCTATCTCCACACATCTTGCTTTTTTAATATATCTCTTAACTCATGGCCTGCGTATAGGTTCTCCAAATATTTTTTCCACATATCTGCCTTTTCTTCATTTTCTATCAAAAATGATTCCTACCTCGTTTCCTATAGTACTACTTGTGTACCCTACATCTCTAAAATTCCTTTTAATTATATTATATATAAGCCTTATCGGTTTTACCTACTTCAAACGTTTCTTCTACTTCCTGACACCTCATATCAATCGACTGTTCCTTAGCTGCCCTACACTTCCTAATTATTTCCCACTTTATCGCCTTATATCTTTTTTACCTTCCTTCGTCTGTCCTGTTTTTGTATTTCCACCTCTCTTCTATTAATCCTACAATCTCGTTTGTTATCCAGGGTTTCCTATTTTCGTTTTGTTTAGGACCTAATACATCTGTAGTTGCTGACTTTAATGCAACACAAACACATACTTTACGTGTATGACTAGGTCATGTGTATTGTTCCGAGAAAACCTTTCCCGCAAAATTTTTCATTCATTCGCGATCTATCCGTATACACACATATATATATATATAAACTGGAAAGTATGTTAACAAATGTTCCAGCCAAATTTGAATTTCATTGTTAACTGCGAAAGTCCAAGTGCGGCACTAAATAAACGACCGTATGCACGTTCTGCACTAATTGAAACGTATACTGTAATATACGTTAGCGTGTCCTGCGATTTATACTGAACACAACGGGATTAAAAATTGTTCCTGTAATATCCTGATTCAGATTCAAATTATCCTTGCTTCTTTAAAAAAGAAATTACCATCTATTCTGATTAACCGTATGTTTTGCTAATAGAAAACACTAAAATTAAAAAAAAAAGATACTAGATCAAACGACTTAAATGACATAAAACAATTTGTATCGATTGCAACATTAATAAATTGATGTTGAACATAATATCATGGTGGTTCTTTGCTGATTAAAAATGTGAATAATAACCCTAGCTTTTGAGAATAATTGTATACTACGACTTTTAGTTAATTATACAAGATCACCAAAAAACTATACTTATTAAATTTCGTTCAAACGAAAAAACACTCTATTTTAATTTTCTTTAGCTAACGTATAAAACAGGCAACTACTTGTTGTACGATTAAACCTAACAAAAACTAACTATTAAAATTGTTTTCTTACACTCCATACACTTCAAAATTAATGTTTACTTATCTCGCAAATGAAAACCGTGTACCTAACTAAAGAAAGTTTCTCCGCTGTTTTGAACTGAATTTGTTAAGTCTCCAATAAAGTTTAAAGTAAACCACAACTTCAATCATCCAAAACAGTTTAAGCTGGAGATTACTTAAGTTGCCAACGTCGAGTGCTTAAGAACAGCAAAACAAAGAATTTTTAATTAGAATTAACTTGTTTGCGATAACTTCAAGTTGGGAGTAGAAAATGAAATTCTCTTAAAGGGAAAATACAATTACACACAAACGTTTGCGTATGTGGTTGGCACTCTAATTAAAATTTCATGTGATGGGTCTATTATGCGAGAAAAACGTAATAACAGTAATAAACCTTAAGAACTTAAAACAATATTGTAATAGCGTAATTAATGTCAAAGGGAATATATTTTTAGCGGTACCTAAGCGTGAAAATTGATCCTATTGTCTTTTAATATATTCTGTAGAAATTAAGATTTAGCTTTATTTATTAGTGAACTATTAGTTTCCACAAAGGAAAATGGTTAATTGATTAGATACAACGGTTGTAAGTAGGGTTGCCACCTTTTCAGGCTTTACATAAAGTATTTCTCGACTAAAAGGTTAAAAAAAAGTACTCAGCATAAAATAAAGTATTTTACTTTTTGTTTTTAAAAACATATTTTTTGTTACACCTAGCAGCCAGTAACAAATTGCTGTCGCTCTTAAATACATTAATAGCCTCTAAACATGGCAAACAAAGATTTAAGTAAACTAAAAGTTCATTTTTAATTAGTTTTAATGAAGCTTTATTCCTGTCGTCCCGCCACTTTGAACAGATTTGAGAAATCAGGTTGTTCCGTAAATATGGCTTGTCATTTTTCTGTGCAATATTATCGATGTAAAAATACTCTGAACTTCGAATAATCGCTTACAAAATTACGATGTTTACTTAAGGCCTTAAATAAAGTATTTTTGCCTACTTTATGTGTCTCGTAAAGTATAACGTACGCACAGTCGAAATAGAGTACAATACTTTATAATAAAGTACGGGTGGCAACCCTAGTTGTAACGTAGTAGGCAATATAATATTTCCATACTTTACTTTGGTATTAATTCTATTAATCAATTAGAATAAAGGAACGTATTACATAAAGCTGGTAAACATTATCTTAATTGCCCAACGTTTGTGGAGGCCACTGGTGAACGACTTTTTCGAAGTAGACGTTGTTTATGTGGAATGCGGTAGTGATCGTGAGGACCGGGATAGGGATCGCTGCTTGGGACCAGTATCGCGAAAATGACTGCAAGAAAATGGACGATTTGTCTAAAAGCGAGAGAGACGTGGTAAGCTCGCGGCCGCTGAAAATACCACCGACGCGATTAACCTCCCTAAAATGGAGCCATTTATCTCGGAGAAAGCTCGGTGTTACTGCTAAATCTCTATATTTGACCGTCGGCTATACGCCAACTGATTCCAATTGAAACAGAAGTTTTGTACTCGAATAAACGTTTTTTATAGACCCATTTTACGACAACCAATTTCCTATAGTCATAAAATAATGTTATTTTGAAGAGATCCGCCAGCACGAAATCGATATTTTTTGAGAGAAAACAACCAATTACAATAACTACGAGGCATACATTTTATTAATGTCTAACTCTTTTGCAAAATGAGAAATTTATTTCGTTTCGTAGCAATTAAGCGTAGCAGATTGAACCAATCATTTAAATGAAATTAGACAAATACATACAAAAAGCTAAGTTTTTAGTTGTTGGTCACTAATTTACTGAAGCTACCAGATTTGAATTAGGTTTTCGAACTTGCCTGCCCTCATCAGCACGCCATAGACAGTCTCGATAAATAGTGACCAAACCAAAGATTGTCTCTCAAGGTAGCACATTGAAATTTTAATTAATGCCCTAATTTGGCACTAAAAATGAACTGAATTCTCATATGAATCGTTTTGTGATTATATAATGTGGAACTCGACAGACAATTAGGTAGTAAACCGACATATGTACACATACATGATAAGCACAACAAATGCTTCAAAAAGTATGCGCTTAACTCTCAGTTTTCAGAAAAAAAGCGATCTTTTGATCCTCCAATGTAAAATATACCGTTTGTAATGTTTCCAGGATTGCGCTCTTACTCAAATCGTATTTCGAACGATTTGGAATTACTTTTGAAACGATAAATATACAAACTATAGTGATTTATTAGACAAAAATGTAAAACTTACCTGAGACAACGGAATCAGCGTTTCTAAGCCTTTTCAGGACGTGTTCGATTAAGCCTACATCGGTGCACGCTTGTAAATTTCGCACGCTTTTTCGCAAAATCGCGATGAAGACACTCCATATTTCAGCCTGAAACAAAAACAACACATTACCATCAAGTTTATCCCAGCGAGACAGGTGCGGTAAAGCTTCCTCGTAAATGATAAATTATATGTATGTATGGAAGGTAAGCGTCCATAAATTATGGATATGTAATACCTGCTTTATGGACCAAATGAGAACAGTAGGATGCTTTGTATGGACTATTAAACTAGCGAAGTAAGGACTCAACAAAGTCGTAAAGCATAGAGTACTTCTACTATTCCACAAATTATATATTTACTCATTATATTATATAAATTAATAGTCAATTTATACAAATTATTTTGATGTCTTCCAATTGGACTGTTTACTTCTCTCATTATTTATACTTCCTGTTTGCGCACTAGTCTTTTATCACCTGTCGGGATCGATCGCTGCCTGTGGCATTCGTTTTTGATAATCAATGTACGTCTTGGTTCTAAAACAACTAAGAGATGCTCCAACATTCCGAATTGTCGCACTTGCGCTCCTGTTCATTTTAAAACTTGGAATTAAATGATCGTGATACAGGCGGTAGAAAATAATCAAGGTAATTTATGTTTTAGTGCATATAACAGAAAATCGGAAATGAAATATTTCCGGTTTCGAAACGTGATTATTATCGGGGTTGTGCGCACGATTAAAATTACAGGATAAAAAACAACGTTCCTCTAGCAGTGCTATATTTATTTTAGCATCAGAAAATAAAAATTAGAAGCTTTCGGTGATTTACTATTCTCTATTAGTCGAGCGCGAAATTGCATGTATCGAATTTTCCGGTTTTCACAGCCGCGGATAAAAAAAAATTGATACCAACTAAAACCGACCAGTTTGTTCATGTCTTCCATGAAACTGCACACGGTTTAATCCTTTCATGCTCCATTTTACCAAACACGCTGTCGTTATTTAGCGTTAGTGTCGTTATTAAGGTAATATATATATGTATAGGGAACTAATTAGGACGGTGTTAGCAATTAAACCCTTATATCATTATCACAAAAATAACAGCACCTTAACAAGAGAACCACATAACATATTTCATACTTGAAGAGCACGTTATAATGCTTTATAGTGGCTCTAAAAAGTTCTGAACGAGTTATATAACGGCCGTTTCGAAAAGTTGTTAATGCACCACCACACGACCGCATTTAATGACCCTCCGGTAACATATGTCACTATTACGTATTATGAATGGACAAGTTACATAAGATTCCCATTTTGTATGTCGCATTTATTGCGAATTTCAGAAATTATTTATTTAGATGCCACACTGATAGTAAATTAGTAGTTTAATCAAAGATTAAGCATCACACTGTGAATAAAATTTCGCGATTACTAAAATTCCATACCGATGATACCAAAACATTGTTTGTAAAGCAGAAATACGATAAGTATTTGGATATTTAAATTTCGAATTGTTAGATAGGCTTTTAAATATATAATAATAATTAGACACCCATTATAATCAAAGCCAAATTTGAGTTCTTCTGTGAAACATTATCTAAAAACGAATGTAAAAAAGAGAGAAGTTTCACTTTGATTCCCTCAGCAGTTCCCAGAAAGGTGTCTTCGGAATCCGCTCATCAAAATTGCATGCGACTAGCTTCGTCCCTTTAATTTTCAAAGGGAAAATATTTCAAATTTTGATCAGAAGAATTCCCTGAAGAATCCTCATTTTCTGCAGCAGGGTTTTATTATTTTAGCAGGACAGGAAAGGCACGAGTTTGATAGAAGCAAGTACCTACAGTATTAATTTCTAGGATTCGGATAGCTCGACAGGAAACGGGATCGTCGTTCAGCCCGTCTGATGGTGCACTTCTCCCGGTGTTCATTATGCGAAACGTTTCCTGTTGAGCCTTTCTCTTTCTTGATCCGCGTGGATTTTCTTAGTTTTTTTTCTTCCGTCGACAAACGGAAACGGAACCCTTTCACCCAGCATGCTGCTTCACAATCTGACAGGCATATTCCTCACATTAATTCTGGTCCTCCTTCCTCTCTATTGTACTTCTACAAATATGCATTTGTTCACGCGAGAATTCGTATTTTGAATATGTTTTCAAAATAAATATGTAAAATTTCGTAGAGAACATAGGCTGAATTAACACGTTAATGCGTTCTTAATCTGGTTTTATTTGTGGATTATTATATTTGAAAATTACTTTAACTCTTTTCGACCTAAAGGTATAAAAAAAAACAATTTAACATACAATTAGCTAATGGAACTTTTTTGGGAAAACTTTATGACGAAAAAAGCACAACCGATGATATGTATTGCGATCATTCATCGTACAAAAGTTTCAGAATATTACGCTACATTTGAAACTCACGATCAATAAAACCTTTTCATTATTTGAAATATTCGAATACAGCCGTGTTCCTTTGAAATTTTGACTACGCAAAATTTAATTTTAAAGCGAAAAGCGAACATGGGAATATGGGGAAAAATCGGAAACAATATTCTTTTATCTCACAGAAAATGGAAAATAGAGTTGCTATCAATAATAAAAGTTATTGTCAGTACAACTTACAGTAGGATTATATAGAAACCTCAATAATAGCAATTGAAATAAATATTACACCTACACAACGAAACACTTATATGTTTCAGTATGTTTAATGTCCGATTCATACCATCGATCCAGTCACAGGTAAATCATAATACCATTTTAGAGAAATTGATTGGATCATGAGCTGATCAATCCTTAAAGTATAAATGATATTTACTTAACTGCGGTCGTATTCTAACTTGACTGTTAAAGCTCCTATAGCTCGATTCATATTATCGAAAAAGTCACGATCTACCTCGGTGAATTAACTGGACCGTGACTTAATCGTTCCCTATAGTATAAATCTATTTACTTGATTGTAGCCGGATCGTGACTTGACTGACAGTATGAATCGGGTTTTATCTAAACGTTCTACGACCTCCTATAGCTCGATTGATAGGTATCGGACAAGTCACGGTCCAGTCACGGCGATCAGATCAAAATATAAGAATACCTCGGTGAATTGACGTGATTTGATCGTTCCCTATAGTATTAATGTATTTACTTGATTGTAACCGAATCGTGACTTGGCTAATCGTAGGAATTGATTTGTATCTAAACGTTCTACAACGTCCTAAAGCTCGATTCATACTATCGGACAAGTCACGGTCCAGTTCATAAGATCAAAATATAGAAATACCTCGGTGAATTGACTGGGCCGTGACTTGATAGTTCCCTATAGTATGAATGCTATTAACTTGATTGTATCCGAATCGTAACTTGACTAATAGTATGAGTCGATTTGTATTTAAACGTTCTATGACCCCCTAAAGCTCGACAAGTCACGGTCCAGTCACGGCGATCAGATCAAATTATAAGAACACCTCGGTGAATTGACTCGGCCGTGATTTGATCGTTACCTATAGTATTAATGTATTTACTTGATTGTAGCCGAATCGTGACTTGACTGATCGTAGGAATTGATTTGTATCTAAACGTTCTACAACCTCCTAAACCTCGATTAACGGACAAGTCACGGTCCAGTTCATAAGATCAAAATATAGAAATACCTCGGTGAATTGACTGAGCCGTGACTTGATAGTTGCCTATAGTATGAATGCTATTAACTTGATTGTATCCGAATCGTAACTTGACTAATAGTATGAATCGATTTGTATCTAAATGTTCTACGATCTCCTAAAGCTCAAAAAGTCACGGTCCACTCACGGAGATCAGATCAAAATATAGAAATACTTCGGTGAATTGACTAGACCGTGACATGATCATTACTTATAGAATGAATACAGTCACATGATAGGATAGTGACTTGACCGATAGTATGAATTGGGTTTATGTATTTGTCAAGAGCTCAATCTAAAGGTATGTTACATACTGTTGGTTTAAAAGTTAGTTTGAAGTTTCTATTCTCAGTGCAGATACAATTATTGAAAAACCAATTATGTAGATGTCGTCAAGAACGTTCCCACTCTTTCTTGGAATAAGCAAAGCACCATGAAGAACGAGGATTAGTCAGAGTATCTACTGAAATATTATTTTAAATTGCAGTCGTATAAATCGTAATCCACCCATATTACGATGGGACTTACATTTTAGATATAGATACGTATCTACGTAAATCTCTCAAGAACTGAAGTGTAATTAGTTGCTCTGGTTTTAGTTGAAGCCTTAAGCCGGCTGTATGTAGTAGATGTATTAAAGTTTTCTCATATAAGATAAATAGAGCTTTAATCTCCATATATACAGAAACCATAGAAATAACACAATTTACAATGAAGAACTGCTGTTTTATGATAGACGCTTTCTAAATGATCAATTCAATTAAATTCACACACGTTTATTAACATTTGCACCGTGTTCTACTCATATTAGAAAAAGTAATCTAATATCATTTTCACACAAGTGATATGAAATTACAATCCAGGTACTCGAGATAAAAATGTTCAATATCTCAGAGTCTCTAAAAGCGAAACTCGAGTCTCCGTCTCTCATCTCTCTGAACGAGAGACTCGAATCTCTCAATTTAAAATTTTTTAAGTTCAACATATTTCAGAGATCTCAGTCTTTATACGAGAGACTCGAGTCTCTCAATCTTTCAGTTTTATTCATTCAGTCTCTCTGTGGGAGAAGATTTGGTAGGACGAATAACTATACACACTCAGCCTAAACATTACAGATTTTCCTACTGTTACTACCTACCTACTAGAAATTCCAATACTTCACAATAATGTGGTAAGTACCTAAAAATACTAGCAATCGATTGAACTGAAAGAAACTTTGACGTGTATTATTCCTTGCAAGGGAACATTCAAAGGTAAACGACAGTTACAAAACATGTAGAAATATATATTCGAGTATATGTAAATGTTTGTTAAGCAGACAATAGTTGAAGCACTCTCAGTTAAGGTGAAAGGAAGTGTAAAATGAACTAACATCTAGGCGCACCCTAGGCAATCAAAGTACATCTCTACTCCTCGCCTTCTTCGTTTGTTTACAGGAAATACT